CTCGATGTTTGTCCAACCAATCTACGCCGAGAATCAAATCAAACTCTTCCAAAAGGTAACTCCATCAGGTCGGCCAGAAAAATTTCCCCATTGATCTCTATAGGACATTCTCTAAAAATACGATCCAACATTATGAACTTGCCTAAGGGACTTTGAACTATCACCGAATGCTCAGTATTCTCAACAGGAATATTTAGACCATCAGAAATGGAATGCGATACATAGGAATTGGTAGAGCCACTATCAAACAATGCAAAGTAGGGAACTGAATGAATAGTAATAGTAATTGTAGTCACATTAGGTCCATCACGATCTTGTCAAAGTCTGGCAGTGTAAACCAATGCATGTTGTCTGGCCTCAGATCTGACTGGACCCCTACTATGATATGCTCGGCCTCTACTAGCCGATCCAGGTGCCCTCTCCTAAGTATAACCCCCTACTGGAGTCTGAACAATACTCTGAGTACGAGCTGGTGTCTGAACTGTAGTAACTGATACTGGACAATCCCTTATAAAATGGTCACCAAAACCATATTTAAAACAGGTACCAAATTTTTTTATGCATTCCTAAGTAAGCTGGTGCCTCTCTTGCTAGGATATGCAGAAGAATCAACAGAACCAGAAGGCCTCCTGAATCGAGTTTGAGCTCGATCACTATCTCTCTTACGCTCCATACCCAATCGCTCTATTTCCTCAGCAGTCTTGGCTATCTCAACCAAGGCATCAAAATTCCTCTCCCGATGGGTAGCAACTCGACTCCTGATCTCATACTGGAGTCCATTTTCGAATATCAAGCATTTATCTGTCTCTGTGTCAACAAGTCCAGGAGCATAACGGCTCAATCGGATGAACTCAACCTCGTAGTCCATAACAGACATATTACCTTGCTCCAGATTCTGAAACTCCTGACGTCGCTCCTGCAAGTATCTTTCTCCGATGTAGTGAATCCGGAAGCGAGTCTTAAAAAGATCCCATGTTAACTGGTTTCTCAGAATACTACCAGAAATTGATTTCCACCATCTAAAGCTCTCTTTCTTTAACATAGTTAGGGCCCCCTTCAACTTCTGCTCAGGTCCGAGGTTCATCTCATCCATAATTCTCTATGTGTTTTCCAGCCAATACTCAGCGTCTGTCTGGGGTCCACCAGTAATACCCTCGAATGGAACTACATCAGCAGCGACCAAAGAATTTGAAATCTCAACCGCAATCATATTACTAGGGGCTCTGGCAGCTCTCTGAAACATACAGAATATAGCTCTATTAATGACGTCTTCATTCACGTCAGTATCCTCATCTCCAGTGACGGGAGGGTATCTCACAGGAATAAACTGATCATCATGAGAAAGGGTCGGATCTACTTGCGGAACAGGAGGATCACGTGAAGACATTGGATCGTCAATCGTAACAGAAGGTCGAGTCACTCCTACGAGCTCTAGCAACACTCATCGTTGGATCTATAAGGCTCTACAAAAAGAATTTGAAACATATGTCAGATTAGCATCAGAGATCTCCAGAAAATTTTAAATCATAAAATAAGGTGACATTTTTTTAATTCTTAAAAATCCAAAATTTAGGACCCATATACAGTCCGAGTGTTTAAAACCGAAAGCTCTGATACCACCAAATGTAACCCCCAGAATCGGTCTGTAATTTAGACCCAAACCTAAGTGGTCACATATCTCATTCAGAGATTTTTTTTCCTTAAAACATCTTATAATACATTAGATATAATACATAACAAAATGTTAATAATATTGATATATCCAAAACGATAGCAAATACATGTCACCAAACATAACTGAAAAACATATAGAAATATAAGTTCGTACAAAATAAGTAGTTGATCTCTCCTGATGCCAAATCTGATAGTTTACGGTCTGATGTTATCTGAAAAGGGCAAAACTACAGAATGAGCTAAAAAGCCCAGTGTGCTCCATACAGTGTATATAAAAACATACTGATAAAAATATTCCAGTAAAATCAGTTTATGCAATTATGTCGTTAAAAAAATATGAACACTACCCCCAGCCCATCAAAACAAAATGTGTAGGTTCCCCTGAACCATACACCCAGCCCACACAACAAATAAGGCCCTGAGCACAAAGCCGAGGAACATACAGATATATTTCCTTCAACAATACCCCCAATGATAGAGATGTTCATGAATGTATTTGAATGAAAACCATGATTAATTCTTTAAAACATAAAAGTGTTCATGTTTGTAAATCATATACAGAAATACGAAAATCAGAAGACAAATCAGTAGTATACGGAAATTCAGATATCGGATAATCAGTATTAAGAGAATCGATATAAAATACCGTAACCAGAAATCATATCAGAAATATGCGGTAAATCAGATATCAGATACACAATATTCAAATATATATTTTAAAACAATAATAATGTAACACTGTCGGGAAACACACCTGTAACAATCTGAGAAATTAGATAGGGAAGCGTATTACTGGGTTTGTCGATCACGTTCTGTTGCAGCACTAGATCCTACGAATTAGAAAAAAATTCATATTGGAATCCTAGTATAAATAATCTTAATCTTTATTTAATTAATATACGGAAACCTACATGTATTTATTGTAGTACGCGGTTCGGGCTGATCTGACGAACGAACAACTCCAGACCTAACTGATCCTCGCTCAGGTGAAACACGAGTACCTTCATAAAATATTTTATTGAATCAATTCCTTAACCAAAACTCAAATAAATAATCAAAATATTAAATTACTAAGCCTTTTTGGGTTCACGTGCTCGATTTGGGAATTTCGGGTCAGAATTTGGTAAAACGAACTTCAGAATCAGATTCATGACGTCAAAAAACATAAAGTATGACCTGTCGGATATTTAAATTCTTGGTCAAAGTCAAAGGGTTGACTGACAATTTGGAGATTTTCAGGTTCGAATTTGGTGAAACGGACCCCAAAAACGTATTCGGGACGTCGAAAAATATCAGGATAGGTATTCTCGAAAAATATTAACGGTCGTTTAATGGCCTATCAAAACCAATCAAAGTTCTTGTCAAAGGTGGTCAAGATATGAACAATTATTTTACGAAAATAGCATCATTTTCAAAAAAAAATTACTAAATATCACCATTTTCAAAATAATTACTAAAATATCATTTTTTTAAAAAAAATTAGGAAAATATTTTTTTAAAAAAATTATGAAAATAACACCATTTTCAAAATAATTTCCAGAATAGCACTCTTTTCCAAATAATTACCAGAATAGCACCCGGTCAACTGTCAACGGGCCGGGTCAACGGGTCGGGTCAACGGGTCGTGTCGGGTTGTAACCGGTCAAACCGATCTTTTTTACATTCCTCATACGCAATGGTGGCGCATGGGACCAACTGCGTATAATTCACGGAAAAATTCCTAAAAATTATTTTGAGCGATTTCGAGATACTTACAAAGTTCGATTCAAATTTTTGAACGGCGGAGAGCTCGATTTCAACAAATCGGAAACTTTGACCGCTTCACCTCCCCACGCGCCGCCGTCGACGGAGACCAAGGATGATACCGGCGGACTCGGAACGACATAAAGAACACGATGGTGCGGGAGATGTCGTAAACGGAGCAACGATCGGCGATGAATTTAAGATTTTCTCGGCGATTGAACTAAAAAAAAGGTCGAGACTTTGACTTGAAATTCATGGCGTTTGGCAGCGTTTCACTTCAATTAATTTAAGAGGTTTGTTCCTCATTTGATGATGGACACGATGATGTTTTTAAAACGACGATCAGAGGTCGGACGACGTCGGGATCGTGATTAGAAGTTGAGACTTGAAAGGAAGAAAACTTATAAATTTTTTGGTTAATAATTTACCTCACGCACATCTGATTCTCCATTTTATATAGTGTCTGCCGACATATTTTTGGATAAATTCATGGCTTAATCCCTGAATTTCCTTAAACTGTACAACAACCTACAAGTTTTAAAAACTTTCAATTTAATCTCTAATTTTCACCAATTACACAATTAAATCCTCAATTTTAATTAAATATTATTTTCAAATTTCCAGGTTGTTATAGGTTTAGATTAGTTCCAGTTTTTTTAATAGAATAAAAATTATCAATATCATTTAACTATTAAAATAATAGGCTATCGATATTGATAACATATTTTTAATTTACAAGACTGTTAATTTTACGTGAACAGTGGGTGCTCTACTGAAATTGCATCGAGAAGAATCTTTTGAGTGATAAAATGTTCAACAGGTCTTTAACGATGGTGGTTGTTACTCTCTCGCAAGACCAGAGGAAAAGTAGTCTAGAACCAAAAATAAAAAATAACACTCGTTACTACTTAATTAGCGATAAATTCTAATCTGATTATTTATCTTTTAATTTTTTTAATCAGACCATTTTATAAATGTGATCCTCCAATCAAATGTCTGATTAAAAGAAAATAAATTAATAAAAAATGATTTTTGGGTGGATGAAACCTAGAAGTTGAGGGAAATGGGACACATTAATCATGGGCTAAATTCCACTTTTGATACATGAATTACAACATTTTATTTATATATTTTTATAGTACAGTTAATGACAAAAAATAAAATTGATCAAGTAAGGACTCAATCTTAAATTATTTAGGGAGCATGAGAATACTTAAATCACTAAAATAAATGCAATAGTTGATTTATAATTGAATATTTTATATTATAGTCAGATTTAAAATAAAAATAAATTCTATATTATATACTTTTAAATTAAAATTTTGTATTCACATTCATTTTTGTAGTTTCATATATATAATCATTTTGTAATCTCCAATAACTTAAGTGGTTATTTTATAATTTTATAGTCGAGTGATCCATCTAAAAAATACAGTAAAAATAGTTTTATTGAAGGCCGAGACCCGAGATATTAGCTGCCAGTCCGACCCAACGGGCCTTCGACCTGGGCTATATCCTTTCGAAGACAGATAAACCCTAAACCCTAGCATCCTTCTGCAGTTCTGCTTAGTGCTTATCGCAGAGTGAAGACTGAAGAGCCATATAAATTTCGTATTTCTATTTATTTCAGAAAAAATAAAAACCATATTAAAATAAATCGCCATGGGGAAAGGGAAGGGTAAGCAGCGGAAGCAGATAATTCTGCCGCCGGAACTCCCACCGGAGATAGCAGAAGATGAGATTGAAGTCTCTGACGAGGATCTCCAATTCGTTGATCAAAACAAAGACTACGCTGGCTTCGTCTCTCGCTTGGATACTCATTCTATTAACAAGTCTCATTCTTCCCCCCCTTCAATTATCGGATTCATTTTTTTTAGATATAAGCTACAAAATCATTTATTATCTACTGGAAATTCTTTTGATTGTTATTTCAAAATACTTTGGTTTAATACTTGGATAGTGGTAATTAGTTAAATTTTAAAACTGGCATTTGGGTGCGGCAACTTGAAATGGGAATTAGTTATTTCCACTTATGATGGCAACTTCTTTTGTGGACAGGCAAGTCACACGGGTGGAGGGTGTGAGCGAAGATGCTTTGGAGGCTTTATATGAGAAACGAAGAAGGAAGGCGTTGGAGCACAAAGAGAATGAGAGAAGTGTTGTTGAAGTTGCTCCAGTTGATGCTCTTCCTGTCAAGTCTTTGGATGGAGAAGTTTATTACCGAACATGTATCTTATCATTTTTCAATAAATTATTTTACTTTCTTTGTTTCTAAAGAAAGTGTATTCATTTAATGAAGGAATGCAATGGTTTATGCTGTTATACAATGCAGTTTCCCAGACAGCAGAAGTGGCTGAAAATGAAGGGGATGTAGATAAGAGCATGGTTAAGATGACAAAAGCTGAAAGGAGAGCAAAGCTTAAAAAAAGTAAGAAAGAGGCTAAGAAACTGGGGAAGGAATCGGCTAAAACCGAAGAAGTGCAACCAACTCAACAAGAAGCCGCACTAGTATGTTTCTATATTTCTCTTCTTTCTGCCTTTCAATGTTAAGCAAGAAAAGCGTGAATATTAAATTTTACATTAGCATCTCAGACAGATTTGGTAACCTTTTTTACATAATGTTTGAAATCAAATGTTCCATGTCTTTTCTTTTTGTTACACACTACAGGCTACATCTAATGAGGATAATCAACTTAGTTATTTTCAATTATGTTAATACACTATGCATAGAAAATGGAACATTCTTGTTGAGCATCAGAGTTGTAGCAGCATTCATGTAGCACTATATGAAACTTGAGCTGGACTGGCCTATCAGACAATTATAACAATCATCCCGCCTTAGATTTCTTTATATCCATGCACCAACATAACTATATGTGGTACTGCCTCGAGTTCTTGAATTAAACGAGAGCAGCTTGTCTATTATGGCACTTATTGTTTTGCCTTATCCTTATTACATCTTTATGATAACCTCTTTCAATCACCAGAACATGATGGAAACAGAGTTCATATATTATGAAGTCTACAAGTATTATCTTTTGGACCGGCTGATATAATTTGAATTCATGTAATTCCCTAGTTGGGTTATGTTCAGTGCCTACATCTAAAAAACAAGGTTTTAGGATTTTTGATAGCAGAAGCTAGCTCTCAGTGTTCTGTTCAATTGGATTTTAAAAATAGAGGGGCTGGAAGCCTTGAAGGTGAAATGTAATGCAATATTTTCTGGCATAAACAGCCATTTGAATCATTAGTTTGGAGGAGTTGATCGATGGGATTTGATGGGAAAAAGTGTTGTTGGCTTAATTTTGTCAAGCATCTAAATGTGTTTAATTTTGCCTACCTTAGAAAAGGAAATATCAGATTTATTGGATTCTTTCTTATGTTGTGATCAGTAAATCATGATATTTACAGCTGTCCTAAGAGAACAAGAAAGGGGACCTGCAAATTCTACTTGAATCTTATAGAAATGATTCAGTCACTTTAAATCTCAGGGAAGTGTTTGTTATTATCTATATATTCATATATATGGATTTTTCGGGGAAGGCTTTCCCTTCTCTACATGTCAAGATGTTGCAAACAAAAATTTTCCTCTTGCTTTTGTATGTGCATCACAAAGTTTATAACTTTTTGGATGGTGGTAATCATAATTTCTGCGTCATAAACCAATTATCACCAAGAAGGCAAGAACTTAAAAATGGCTACACATGTATGATGTTAACAAACCCTTCTGGTAGGTTTTATTCATTCTCATTCAATTTATATCGATGTCGTTCTCAATTTTTATAAATTTTTTGGGGTAGATAGGTGGAGAAATCCCCCCCCCCCCAAAAAAAAAAAATCTATTTGAGCATTCTGCTAGATGTGCTAAATCCTGCTTGTGTGCTTTTTTCATTTGTTCCTACCTCATGGCATTTACAGTGGGTAATGACTAGATAATGTATTCTTATTCTTTATTCATTATCTTCAATATTCTAAGAGTGTTTGCCTTTTAGGCAGAAGTGAAAGAAGACCTCACGGCTGAAGAAGCATTTGAAACCAAAAAGCGTAAGCTAGCTGATCTTGGGATGGCATTACTTGCAGACCCAGAGACAAACATTAAGTCTCTTAAAGAGATGTTGCAATTTACCAAAGACGGCGATAACACAATCGTAAAGCTTGGACTGCTTTCCTTGTTGGCTGTCTTCAAAGACATTATTCCTGGGTACCTATCTTTCCTTTCCTTCTGTACTGCCGCTTAATTATCTTTTTGTGATAATTTTCCTTTTCATTGCATTGTATTTCAATTTTTTACTCAACTTTTAAACGTGCAAAATACAGCTACCGGATTAGACTTCCAACTGAAAAAGAGCTAGAAATGAAAGTTTCCAAGGAAGTTAAAAAAATGCGGTTCTATGAATCAACACTTCTATCAGCTTATAAGGTTTGAACTGCTATCTTAATGTGGTCACTATTCTGAATTCTGAACTATAATTTGGTTTAGTCCTTGAGTGGAGTCTACATGCGTGTATTCACAATTTGATAAAGGTATGTCTACCACCTTTTCTTTGTATAAGGCTGTTATTATCTGAAAGCCTACAATGTGGTTTAATTGGCACATGGATTTGTTTAATCATATTATTTCTTGATGAATATGAAAAGAATGTGTAATGCCACTGCAATTAGTGAACAAAGTCATATATTTTAGTAAATGTTGCATCTATCGTGATGAAGATATGCTTATGGGCATTCTAGCTTTTAGCTGGTTTCGTAGTATGACTAACAATATGATTTGATGTTTCCACACCATTTGAGTTATTTTTTAGTGCAAGAAATAGTTGTTAATTTGGCATTCTTCTTCATACTAATATCGGGTTATGCAACAGGGCTTCCTGCAAAAGTTGTTAGCGTTAGAAAAGCAGCCTATATTTCATCATGTTGTGGTTCGTTGTGTTTGTACTTTGCTTGATGCTGTTCCTCACTTCAACTTCAGAGAAAGCTTGTTAGTAGCTGTTGTCAGAAACATAGGCTCCTCAGATGATGTTGTAAGGTATACTGTTTTGATGTTCTTTGAAATGTTTAAAATTGTTCAGTAATCTATTTAGGGCCTTTAAAGTTTTGCCGTTATTAACGGGAATTCGATATATTAGTTGTATGGTTGAACTCAGACGCACTATTAAACTCCAAAGCAGTGTGCTAACAATTTCATTCTGCCACATCTAACGAGTCTGAGCTTCTGCTCAAGAAGATCAATCCTATTACTTTGATAATTTCATGCATAGAGGAGGCAAGTGATCTGTTGCCTCCTTTTAAAGAAAGCTGCTGATACTTCTCTGTTTCTCAATCACTGTGCTTACCTGTTAATCCTCACCAAATGACCAAAGCCATCAAACTATGGAGTATCTTACAATCTATTGTTTCACTTTATTTCTTACAGATTTCACTTGAATATCATCACTTGAAAATCATTACAGATTTCACTTGAATTTTCTGTATCATCCTGGATATTAATTTCTTGCACCCTCCTTAAAACATGCTACTATTGTTGCTTCAGTGATGATCACATGAAGTACATCTTTGCTTCTTTTGTCTTTTCCAACCAAAGTATCTATTACATGCTTACAGGAAACTTTGTTGTTCAACTATAAAGTCACTTTTTACCAATGAGGGGAAACATGGAGGTGAAGCTACTGTTGAGGCCGTTCGGTTGATTGCGGATCATGTCAAAGCTCATGATTGTCAACTGCATCCTGATTCTGTTGAGGTATTGGATAGTCTTAAATGCTACGTTTCACGTTACATTTATGGTTAGTATCTGTTTTATGGACTTTATCTTCTCGAGACTATAATGATCTCCAACCCCTGATCTTTTTAACCTTGACATAGAAGATAATAACTTTGTTGAAGTTCCATTTCCGCTGTCTCATAGAAGGTATTTGAAGTTGTTGTAAGGAATGCAAGATGGAGGTCAACAACTGAAAACATAGGATTTCAATTTCATAATGAATGTTTATCTTTAAGATGTTAATTAGATGTTGAGTTGTCATCATCTGTTCTAAATTTCATTTTGTTATTATATGTAATATATGTATTACGTTGTCTCCCTGCTCTTTAATTCCTTTTTCTAAAGTTAATTTTCAATGCCTTTTCAGGTCTTAATGTCTTTGTCATTTGATGATGATCTGTGGAAGCCGGAAGTTCAAGAAGATAATAATAACAAAATGAAGAGCAAGAAAAATAAAAAGAGGAAGAATTTTGAGGAGTCGAATCAACTGCAAGGAAATAACAGAAAGATAAGTAAGAAAGAAACTATAGCAAAGATGAAGGAAGAGGTACTTATACCCGAAATTGCATTATTTTTAAGTTTGCTTTATCTTGTTATAATTATCACTGCATTGATTTTTGAATGCTTTGCCTAGGTTGCTGCAGATTATAAATCTGTATCTTATACACCAGATGTTGTGGAAAAGAAGAGAATGCAGTCTGAGACACTTTCTGCCGTATTTGAGACATATTTCCGCATCCTGAGGCATACCATGCAATCATCTGTAGTCAGGTGTGTTGGATCATTACGCTATTACAATTATCAGTGTGGTTGATTAGTGGTACTCTGAATTTTTCAGTAACTGATTGTTTAAGGCTGAAATATGCTGCATGTTTATTCTGTTGATGAAAACAATGTTCAACTCCTTGCCTGAAACCCTGAACCAATAATATGCCTAAATATGTTGAGAAATCTCTTATGTAGAAATAGAACTAGTTAACCAAATGCAATGATGATCCCTGAATTCTCTTGCTGTTTCAGGGGCATTGTGTTTCTAAGAGCTCTTTTGTTACCTCTCCCAGCCCTTGATCTCAGGAGAGAGTGTGTGTGTGAAAGAGAGAGAGAGAGAGAGAGAGAGAGAGAGATGTTTATTTCTTTTCTGACCAATTATTGTAGCCGTAGGGGTGTTGGCTTCAGCCATGTATGCTTCCATAATAATACAAAATAAAAGCTCGTTAGTATTTGATTTATTTATAAAGGGATAGTGGATGACAAATATTCCAGAAATAAAATCATATTTATTTTCTCTTTATTTTCTCTAGTCTATGTCATGCTTTAGTTTGAAGGAAGATGCGCCACTAGGTTATCATAAGGCAAGGCAGCGAGGGACTTGTTTTGTATATATCTCCTCTATCGGTCTTTTCGCTTGACTTCTTCCTAGTTTATACATGAAATAAAGTGACAAAAGATGATTTTTTATGCCAAACTTGTTTTTGTTGAATTTCAACTTATCTTTGTATGGTATCTTAATATCTCCTTATGTTTAGGTATACATGTTTCATAAACATAACTCTGTTAACATTGATTGAGATTTATGTAATCCATGGGGATGTTAGCAGATTGTGAGGGTTTGCTTATGATGTACTAAAGTTTTCATCTATAAATTTCTAGGTACTCTTTTCCTCCTTATTTGTCCTTCATGTTACTTGTATAACATGGAGGGTGCAAAAGGGGTTTTTAACGAGGCCTAAATTCTATCAAAAAAACATTGATTGAGATTTCCAAATAATGTTAGATTAGGGTAGTTAATACCGAGTTGCCGACAACATGATAAAGTGGTTACCATATGAATTCTTATACCATTTATTTTTATTTAAGTTGAACTTGTATTTTTACTATATTTTAAAATCTCTAAGCCCTAGCAGACCAGGTAATTCCATTATTTTCTTTTCAGTTCTGAAGCGAATGGTAATATAACTTCTAGTGGATCTGGTGCACATCATCTGCTAGCTCCTTGTTTGAGTGGTTTAGGAAAGTTTTCTCATCTGATTGACCTGGATTACATTGGGGATCTTATGAATTATTTGAAAAGGCTGGCCGCTAGAGGTACCAATTCAGATGGTTCTGCCCAGAAAGTGCAGAATTTGACTGTCTCTGAGCGCCTTCACTGCTGCATTGTTGCTTTTAAAGTTATGAGGAGCAATCTTGATGCTTTGAATGTTGATTTACAAGACTTTTTTGTCCAGCTTTACAATCTTGTGCTTGACTACAGGCCTGGAAGGTAGGATATTGGCCATCCCTTACATTTTATCTTAAATAGCAGTAGCTTCGGAGTAAATATCAACACTTTGATTAAAGTCTTGTCCAGCTGCGAAAGCTGGCTGAGGCTAGCTTAGTGCAAACTTTTTTAAACGCTGAAATCAATTTTCTGAAACAGGAACAGGTTTTTTCCCTTTTAAGAAAAGCCAGTCACCAGAAGAAAACTGCAAAATGTGTCGTCAATGCTGATTTTTTTTGCTTTTTCTCTATGTTGCAGGGATCAAGGTGAAGTTTTAGCCGAGGCTCTTAAGATAATTCTATGTGATGATAGGCAACATGACATGCAAAAGGCAGCTGCATTTGTAAAACGCTTAGCCACGTTTTCTTTATGCTTTGGATCTGCTGAATCCATGGCTGGTGAGTGAGTTATTTGAATTGCTGGAGAACTTAATTTGCAGTTCTTTATTATGGTATTTTTAAGCCATTCTTTTGTTTTCTTTTTTTGAATGTACAGCCTTGGTAACATTAAAGCAGCTTCTTCAGAAAAATGTAAAGTGCCGAAATCTATTAGAAAATGATGCTGGTGGTGGCTCCGTGTCAGGATCAATTGCCGCTGTAAGTTTTCTGCTACTATTTAAATGATGGAACAATTTCCAATTTGCATTTTATTGAGTGACATTGCATTAATTTTCTATTCCTATATCCTTGATTCCTTGGCAAATTAATTCAACATTCCTTTTAAAATTTACGTTTTATCTTGTTGACCTATTTTTATGCTCTAAGCTTTGCGATTCGTTTATGGGAAGAATGTCCAGAAGATAATTAAGAATAGTGACGCATGGAAATTTTATGGCACTTTTTTATGAATTTCGGTTCTTTTACTAACAGGGACTAATGTGATTGTTGGATTTGTATTTTGTTTTGTAACTATGTAAAACCAGAAATACCAACCATATGGCACAGACCCCAGCTTAAGTGGGGCTCTTGCTTCAGTACTTTGGGAACTGAATCTTCTGTCTAAACACTACCATCCAACTATATCGACACTGGCCTCAGGCATCTCAAGCATGAATTCTGCCCAGAACCAGGTTTATATCAACATTTCTCCTCAACAAGCTTTTAAGAACTTGTCGTTGGAAGAGGGTTTGTTCAAATTCAACCCTCAGAGCAGTACCCAGAAATCAAATAACAAGAGGAAAATCAGAAGCACTGCACTCCCCTCAATGTTGGATAGAGATGAGCCTTCCCCGATCGACGAAAACGAGGTCAGCAAGAAGCTCGGTAGGCATTTTGCTCTCCTTCGGGACATTAAAGAGAACGAGAGATTAAGGGGGGAACTGGATCGGACAACATCATCGTTGCAGTTATATGAAGAATACAAGAAGCAACGGAAGTCGGCCATTAAGAAAAGCAAGAAATGCACAAGTGCTAGGGTTTGAACTTGAGATAAAATTCATTTTGGTAAGTTTCCATTTGATAATGCTGTTTATTATTACAGTTTCGGTCTAAGTTTTAAGTGCAGACGTCTTGATTTCACAAAGATTACTAAAAACTTGAAAATTATTGCAATGGTCAGAGGCAAAAGGAACATCATATTTTGATTCTCTTATTTCCAAACATTAAAAGGATTTTAGGTTTTCGTTTTCCAATACATATCAAGTTGATCCCTTTTTAAATAATAAAATAAGTATAATTTATAAATAGAGCTAACCATAATATTAATGTTACTCGTAGTTGTTTTCTCCTGTCTTCTTTCTTATCAATTATCATGCTTCAATGGTTTCTGGCAGAGATTTCCATGGGTCCTATCAACCCAAATTCACAATTTCTTTGTTATTTAATTTTTTATACTAATATTTACATATGTTAATTAAATTTAAATATATTTTGAATAATAATTAGTACGATTAACTTGCTTTGAATAATTAAAATCATATTCTAAGGTATTCTTTTTTTTATTAATCTGGAATGAGTACAATGTAATATCTGTTTAAAGATAACTCTCAACTATTTAACATTGAATACTCACACTTCTAATATTCATGGTGTTTGAATTTGAGATTTCAAGAAATAACAATAATTCTTTAATCACTAAGGTCGGGAATTATTGGACTTTTTTTCTGTCAACTACAAGTGCGATTAGGTTGGTCACATATATTTAACTAACTCATCTAATTAGCTTAATTCTTTAGTGGGCTACAATAATTATCTATATTAGCCGCAAAGAGAATTGCATCAGATCATAAATCAATTAAGACAGTCTACCCTTTTACCAGAGTATAGTATATACTTGAGCTACTTGCAGTTGAATTCTTTTTATGTCGTTGTAGGAATCAGCATTAAATAATTTAATTTAGGACTCCATTATTTTAATTAATAAATTAATTCAAAATTCAAATATAAAGCACATTCGTGGGAAGGTAAAGTAGAAGTGAATAACCATCCCAAATTTGTAGAATATATGTTTGTTTTTTTACACTGTTAATTTTGCCTTCCAGTTTTGGTTTGAAACCAAACATAAAAACTGGAGATGTTAGAATCCTTTAAAAATGGAGTTGTACACAGAAAATTACAAGTCGAAGTATAAGAGGAAAAATAAACAACATATTTGGTAGGGCAAAAAAATAGAAAAACAATTCCTCCATTTCTGTTAAACGGACTGGACAAATTAAACAGAAAAAAAAAAACCCTACAAATTTTAACCTCCTATATTTACACAACCCAAAACGACACACTGTTATTACCGTTTTCTTCCTCTTAGAAATCGAAAGAGCAGAGGAGGTCTTGGAGGTCACGTGACTCCGCACCATGTCTCAACGCTTCCATGACCCGTTCGAAAACCAGCACGTGACAGGGAATATGAAGCACCCCTTTTTGCTCATACCCGTACTCCTGAGCCGACTTATTAAGCAATCCAACGAAAACCGGGTGGTTCAGCAACTCAGCGCTCACCACGAACCGCTCCATTTCTTCCCCTACATAAACCGGCACGTGTCCTTCGGGAACCGACCGGCGTCCATGCTTCTTGGAAAAGGACACGGCGATGCGGAATGACTCGGATCCACGCGTGGCGTTGCTGCGGTCCGAACGGAGGAGTCTGTATTGGGAGGAAGTATCGGCAACGCGGGAGAGACGGCGAATGAGTTGTTTCATTTGGCTTTTTATGAAATGTGACAAAGAGAAGAAAATATATCTTGGAGTTCGATGGTGAAACTATTATTATTCAATATGGAGATTGTCGTCTCCTCGGTGTTTGGTTTGGTTGAAGAAGAAGAAGGAAAGTGTGAGTCGGGAGGAAGGAGATTGAGGGACGCATTATATAAAGAAGAGGAAAGAGAGAAATTAAAGAAATGATAGCGATGATATGATGATGATGAGAGAGAGAAAGTGGTACAAGTAGGAGTACTTACCAGGTACGGTTGCTATCTCTATTAATAATATAATCACAATTTTAATTACCGATAACGTATATATAGAATTTACTAAAGAGTTTTAATGATTAAAATGAATTATTTTTTTAAAAAAATTTGAGTTCGAATAATTATATTTGTATGATATATGTACATTGTAAATAGTTATGAAAGATTTTTTCTTTTATAAGTGGTTAATAAATATTTTAAATAAATATAAAATATATATCTTGCATATATAACTATTAGAATTTAAGACGTTTTTGAAAAATAACATTTCCTTTCATCACTAATATCACTTACTACATTCTGTTAACATTGCAAAAACAAATTAATTATTAACAACATATTTTTTATTATTCATAAAACAAAATGTAATAACTTATTGTCAATTCAATTTATTACTATATTTTATAAATAAGATGCAGTGGACTAAATGATTAAAATAATACAAAATTTTCAATCAACAATTAATAGAATATATTTTGATCGGCCATGAGTTAATCAAACTTTTAAAAAGTTTAATACGTTTAATTAGATTTTACTCTCTTAATTACGGAAGAACGCTGTCTTTTCCGTAGTCCGTGGCAGTACAGTTCCGTTATTTCCTTTTAACACCTTTTGTCTGTTGCCTACGTGTGAATTCCTTATGATTTATTACACTTGTCAAATCGCGTGAGACCACTGTCCAATGAGAATTGATTATTTTTACAACGTGTAATACACGTTCAATTTTCAGCCTGAGAATTGATGATACTGTTTATACAAAGAAAGACTGTGAAAAAGAAAAGTTTGATACCAATGTTTCCTCTTTTAACTCGAAAAGACAGAATAATAAGGGAACATGGAGATAAAAGATTTGTTTTTGTTTAATAATATTTGATAATTATAAGATAATATTTATTTAATTTTTAATTAGTTAATAATATGTATATTTTAAAAAACAATTGTTTGAATTTAAGATATTATTACAAGTCATTTGATGTGTTCAATGGATAGAATTATTCATGTTATATGATTGCATAATATTTTTTATATTATAAAGATATAAAATTTTGAATTAATAAAATATATAGTATTAAAATATTAATTTTATATAAGATAAATTATTATTAATATATTACAGCATATGTTATATGCAATATTTAAAAATATTTAAAAAAGAAATTAAGAAATGAATTGTCAAGTTGATCAACCCCACGGCTCTTTCACGTTTGTGGTGATCTTTTCCTTTGGGTGAACGATAAAGATTTTGTATTTTTCTTAATTTTCGCATTTATTTGAGTAATTCGTACGCCATATTATTAAGTAGTTTTTCTTTTTAAATATTCTATTAATTCATTGGATTCCATATACCTCCAATTAGGTAATGATTAAATATTGTTTGAGGATACAAACTTAAATACAATTTTAATAAATCAATCATTCAAATATTATCATATATGATAGGATTGAAAATCTTTTGAAAAGTTTATTTTTTTGTATTTAACGTATACTAATAATGAATAAGCATTAAACTAATTATAATTGTTTTAATATTTATCATTACTAGTACTTATCAAAATCATAATTGATTTATGTATTGAAACAATTTTATATATATTTATTCTGGATGACTAGTAAATAATAAAGTAGCCCTTACTTTTTATCTTCTTTAGAAAACGTGATGATCGAAGATGGTGTTGTAGTTGTAAAAGTGAAATGAAGTTAGATATATATGGATTTAATAACTCTATTTTTATGTCAAATCAACTGTAATATTGTCCTTATAAATGTGAAAATGAACTTAGTGCGCAAAGATTTGTCCAAAGTAAGTAGAAATAACTTCATGTGGTTAGTAACCTATATCTTAATTCAGCCATTAATTAAATATGAAAATAATTATGAGTGATCACATCTTATTTTGATGGGTATTTATGGTAGTATATAATAAAATTATATTTGATTATAATTAAAAAAAACAAATCAATAAATAAAATATATAATAAAATTATATTTTATTATAATTAAAAAAAAACAAATCAATAAATAAAATATTTTTTAATTAAATGAACATGTAATAACTCTATAATGTATATTGGTTTGATTGAAAATCGAGATGTATTTAAATATTTTGTAATAGTTTAGTATAATTATAAGGGATAATATTTGTTTATAATCCTTCTTAATCATTGATAAAACACACACCCTATAATTATAATTGTTCGAGTTCAGAACCTCAAAAGATAACAACACTCTCTTAAATGATCGAGATCACTCGATGAGTTCAGTTGTATCTAAACTTTTAAAGGAAGAAATTGATAATTGTTGCCGAAGCTTAAGATGGTGTATAACCCTAACACTCTTATTGCAATATCCAATGATGTGCGCACTTCTTCACATTAACATCACCCACTCAATATTTCTATTTACGGTTCATTTCCCCCCTTAATTGGTAAGAAAAATGAAACCTTTCTCATCAACTGGATTTCTTTGTATTGGCGTACGTGTTTTGTAAGTGTACATGAGAATTTGGAGCAAACAAAGAAGAACAATGTGAACAAGGCCGTTATCAAGTACAAATAATTTAGATAATGAAACACCTAAAAACCAACTATTTCTATTATTCATCGTAGCAGCCATTTTCATCACGTAAAGGCAAACCACAATGCTACCAAGATTAGGGCACAACATTCCTACTTCATTCTTCTCCCCGTACAAAATAAATATTAAACGTATGTAAGATTTTATGTTAGGGGACGGACTTTTAAAATTTTAGGAGATGATAAATTTATAAAAATTTAAAAGAGGCGAAAATAAGTTTTTAATAGAAAATACGTATAGAAATATAAAATATATGATAATTTTGAATTTTCAGAGGGTGATTATCTCCACCCGCCCTCCTTCAATCCATCCTCGTCGTCATACCATATTGTTTTATTTTACAAACAAAACTATTTCATTTACCCTTACTAAAATTGATGAATAAAGAGAAAAATTATTTTTCATTGGGAATTCGTATTTGAACAATTAGGTTAATAAGATATACGTACATTATTAATAAATAAAAAATATTCAAAACAGATATAACATTACAATGATCCCAACTATTTAAAAAATAACGTGGTAAAACTTGATTGCTTGTTCTAGATAAAAAGAATCACGTTTGGTTAGGCACTTGAAAACAACATGACCTAGTTTTTTCCTTGCAATCCACAACCAAAGGCAAGATTTTGTTAAAGGATATTCACATCTAGGCCTAGCTATATGCTTCACCAACTCCACTAGTTTAATTACGATTCATGTTTTTTTCTTTCTTTCTTTAATTTAATCATTTCAATGAAGATTCGAATAACTTGTATATTTATTATAATAAAATATTATTTTGTGTATTTAAGTTATTTTATTGATATTTTTGTAATGACACATTAAATATTTTTTAAATTATTTCACATGTATGTATTTTTTCGGGTAAACTACATGAGCAGTTACTTTTTTTTAGTCTATCTTATTTTGGTCATTAATTTTGAAAGAGTAGCAATTTGGTCACTTATGTTTTCTATCTATCTTATTTTGATAACTAAATCATTAACTCATGTTAATTTAATGACGTGACATGTTAACAAAAAAACTAGATTCAAATTTAACCCTTAAACTTTGAAACTTTTAATTTTGACCATAAGCTTTTAAAACTTTATTTTTTTACACTCCAAAAAAAAAAACACATATTCTCCAACCCAAATCCTAATCTATGCTTATTGACATCATTAGCCACCAGGGACGGAGGTCCCTTATGGCCCAAACGTTCTGACCACTGTTAAAATTTATATTTTCGATATAATTTTAGTTTAATATTATTTTGGTTCATGTAAAAATAAATATTTAAATTTAAAAAATTTAAAAATTTATCAAATATTTAATCAAGTAGGGATCAAACAAAAGAATGAAAAGTTTGTGTTCTCAAATTTTTGGTCTAATTACAATTTAAGTCATTGTAAGTTCAAATATTAGGAAAATTAGAAGTTGTCTTTTGAGTTTTGAGGTTTTTTTTTTAATTTATGGTGAATACAAGGTAATATTTGTACAAAGACTTTCAACTATTTGACAATGAATGCTCATGTCCCTATTATACGTGTTTGAACTCGGGACCTCAAAGATAACAACAACCCATTAATCACTAAGGTTGTTTGGTTCATACTGAATTTTGAGTTTAAATACCTATTAAGTCTTCATATTTTTCTTAAATAATCTAATATTTTAACTCCTGTCAATATTTAATTCTGACTACGTTAGTGATACTGTTAGCCACCGTCTTTCGTCCATCTTTCCGCAAACATATATGCTCCCCCACCGACGTTATTATCTTTTGTTTTTTCTAGCAACTCGTTCGTTACCGAAACCCGATCGAATGCTCTTGTCGTTTGTTAAAAAAATAAAAATACCGAACATTGATGAATATATATTATAAATAATAAAAACACTAATTATAGTTGTAATTACAACTTTAAAAGGAACTTAATAAAGAAAATATAAAATTGTCTAAAAAAGATTTAAAAATATTTACGGTTGATATGTTTGAAGAATATATTATAAATAATGGAAACATGACACCAGTCTGTTTATATATTAAAACATAACTGAATCAAATTCTTAAATTGGTTGAATAAATCACAGTTGGAACTCAAATAATAATAAGACCGAAAATTGAATATTAAATTTCGGTTGGAATCTGAGAATGGACCGAGTGGGTTATACTGATAAGGGAATATTTAATGAATTTGCATTATGACACGTAAACGCGTGCGAATGCTTATATGCGTGCTGTATCTTGCTGTCATTTATTAATAATATTTTCATAAAAAGCTTATTGCAGTATATATTTACAACCCAGAGATAAATCTCTTTA